ACTTTCAGGTCCTCAAAGGCCTGATGGCCTGGTTTGACTTGGCAGGGGAGAGAGAGGGAAGAGGTAGCTGGAGGAAAAACGGGGGTGGGTGAGAGCACGCAGAGGGAAGAGGGATGGAGGGGAGAATTGAGCAGGTGGTTGGAGATGGAGGGTAGATGAGAGGAGAGGGGAGATATGAGAGGAGAGAACACCACTTGTGCAGAAAGGTGGAGGGGAGGTGGAAATCTGAGGGAGGGAGGGAGTTGAAGGTGATTCATAGGCGTGGGCAGTCACTTTTCAGACTTCTTGCAACTGCTGTGAAACCAGTTTTCTGGTTAGGGTCGGGAGATATACTGTACTTCATAAAACTGCAGAGTGCTGCATTGTGTCTTTGTTGAGGCAGTTCAGATAGTTTACTACTATAGCTACTGTAGATGCTTTATTGCCTTGGATACCTCAAGTGTTGGCATAGCAACAATAGATTTGGACTGTCAGTGCTTACTGGGGGCCAACGGCAAGATTGGACTGCAACTTCACTGGAGGATTTACTGTGCTCGGTGTAATGTGATGTAACAGGTGATCACACACGCATCATCTAATACAATGAATATGAATGGCAACACTTAGCTCGGAGACAGTGAAAGAAAAAGAAAGAGGGAAAGAGATGAGATTCATTTTAGGTTTTGTGCCTTTACAGAAAATTGTCAAATATTCCAAAGGCCTGTAGCCACGAATATAGTTTCTGTTGTGATGTGCCGTTCCCTGCAAAAGTCGTTACTTTGAGGTGATTTCCAGCTGAATCTGTGCCTAAACAGGTCACCTCTGTTTCAAAGTCACTGCAAGATAAAGGCTAGTTGGTCAGTTTCCCATAATGTCACAGATACAAAAAGAGCCTCTGCCAGCACACAGAAACATCATCAGGTCCTTCTGTCAACCTGTAGTTGTTCTTGTCAACTGTTTGATAGAAACTGTTCAATTTCCATCTTGTGGTATCAGTTGTGTTACATTGTATATCTGCAGCACTTGGAGAGGAAACCCTTAAATATCCTACTAAAATCAAGTGAACACGTTTGTGTCTCCACAAATTGTTGTAATGAAGAACAAGTCATTTCTGTGTTATCCCATAATTTTTCTCTGTCCATCAGTGAGCAGCAGATACTAGTGTGTGTATATTATATTCTTAGTCTTATGTGTCATATTATCATTTATGGTCAGCAGTTTGGATTTTTAATGTTTGTTTTTGTTACAAATGGCCTAGAATAGGTTTTAAATGTTTTCAATTTAGTTGAATAACTGTGAGATAGAATTCTGATACAGGATTTTAGAAGGTTCTTGTTTGTTCCATCATTGTGATTATATGATGAAGAACAAATCACCTGTTGTCTCACTCACATTAACATGGGATCTGTTGTTAGCTGCTAACTGTTGGACAGTTTCCTCAACAAATGAATATGACATTTTAAGGCTTAAAGACCTGTTTTCTCAACTATAAGTAACACGGTTCTTAAAGGGTTAGAGATTTACAATGTGCCCCGTCTCTTTAATTACTCGGTTTATAAACACAAGTATGTGTTGGTACTTCTGTGCACCAGTCAGGATTGAATCATTTTGGATCAAACTCCTACAACGTTTGGTGGATTGTCTTATGTCACCTACACACATGTCAATTAAATGCTAATGTCACTTGTTCCACCATTTAAGATTTTAGACAAATACATAAGATGTTGTTTCAGAGGCTTTGAATTGCATAAGCACTGCTGAATGTCCAAATATGGAATGAGCAAACTGCTCTATTTAGCCATCCAGGCAGCCCATTACTGGTAGATAGCTCCCAGCCTAAAGAGTGCTAATGAGCTCACTGTGCACCAGTGTTAACCCAGTCCCTCTTTACACATACAATATTGACAAAGCTGATGCTAAGTATGGGCTCTTAAGTCCAGAGTGAGTGTTGTTCTATGTAAATGAACTCAGCACTCTTCTTACTCAAAGGTAAACTTACTTTATGAGCATGGATTGTGTTAAAAGCTACTCAAACAGAGGATAAATTCAATAGACAAACAGGTTTAAAATGTGTTTGTGTGTGTGTGTGTGTCACAACAGAAGACAAGACACAAAAGTGCAACAAACTGCCTTGGCTTGTTAAGATTATTCTTTATTATGAAGTGCCACAAAATGCTTTGTGCTCATTGTGCTTACATTGTTTGAATACTGGCTCAAAAAAACCCAGGAGGTCGTCTCTCTGCAACAGAGATCCAGACCTCCTGAGATAAGGTGTGTCAGATAATCGCTATACAGCAGTAAAAATGTATCAATCCAAAGGATTCTTTACAAACCCTCTTGCAATAAATGATTATTTAGGTTATCATCATTCTTTAACTTGGAAATACAAAAAAAGAAGAGAGGTCAAGCTAGTACAAGGTTTTTAATTCTTCTCTACCTGAATTCTAGTTAGTTTCATTGTGCTACTTTCTTTAAGGTGGAAATGACTAGAATGGAAGTGCTTAGAGAGACCAGACCTGGAGCTCACCCAGAGACAGACGTACACGAACGGATGCACAAACTCCTTAACACTGGTAACCAGCAGGACAACAACGACTTTATCCATATACCCTTAAGATGTTTCGACTGCAGTGCAAATGTGCAAAGAATTTGAATACACACTGGAACAATCTGTGACGCGTAAACAGTGATTTTACTGCTTATGTTTCATTCACACAGAGGAGACAGAAATCAGATTTTAGAGTTAGCGGTTAAAGTAATAGCATATTGTTAATTTCTATCTCTTCCAGGGTTCGATGTTCACGAGATGTGTAAAGAAAAATTAGGGTAATGTTTTGTTTTCTTTGCATATATGGGCTCTTCGTCACACATTTGTCATCTTAACATTCAGCTGTATTAGACTAGTATTTTAGTTTGAACTCCTAATCTAATGTTTTTACCTATTTTGCATGTTTACCAAGCCATTTCAATTTATTGCGGCCAGTACTTAAAAATTACAGATAAAGAGACAAAAACTAAAATGTGAGCCCTAACTAGTTGGAGCTCTATAACTAATCATCTGATACAATTCAAGTAATGGCAGCTCAAATCTGGTTCACACGTCGGGGAGAGAGATAAGACCTGTAGTTTGCTGAATTCACATACTGATCGCTCCAGTCACAACAGAAAAACTGCCTCCTTCTAATTGACTTGTTATGCAACACAACATTTATCATAGAATGTAGAGTTTTGTTAGTCAATAAATTGACCCAAGCTGTAAGTGAGGAAGGTCATGCACGAGGAAGCACTGCAATTATCAAAATGTCTCTGTTATAAACCCACATCTCTTATCAAACCTATTTCTTTTCAGTTGTTGACTGTAAATAGATTTCATCACCCCAAAGAGCTCATCAGCAGGCATCGTGTTCTCCCACGTGTGAAAGTGTCTATGCAAAGTTACAATAAGGACGTACAGGATGACATATAAACACAAACAAGCGCTTCATTATTTTGTGCAGATGTGTGTGTCCCTCAGTCTGTCTCTCAGGAAGCTCCATGAATCTGTAGAAAAGGTTTCTGAGCTGCAGAGATCTGGGTTCAGCAACACTGGTATTGGCCAGTTAGTTTGAACGATAAACCGTCTATGGGTGCGGGATGATTAGAGTTGGGCCTGTCTGTAGGAATAATAATCACTCAAAGAGTTCGTCTATGGTCGGCCTGTTAGGGATGGATGGGGCCTACTGCAGAATAATCGGGACTGTAACAGTGAAGCTGCATTCAGACCATCCAGCTTAAGTGCATGCTTTTTCTCTGTGGTTTAAGAATGCACACTGTTGCTGTATGGTCTGGAAGTGCTCTGCAAGGGTAGTTGAATAATGCATTGACCTCGGTCCAACTTCAACAATGCACCAAACTTTGACTTGGTGGTTTTCTATTGAAAATATACTCATATTTGCAAAAATGCCATGTATCATATTGAGTCGGTGCACATTTCATTGCATGCTTCTCCAGTCTGATTGCTAAAACTTTGTTGCAGTTTTGTTTGTATGAAGAGTGTTAAGATGACTCTTTACATTATTAAAATATGATTACTTGTTGCTGCATAAAACATGAAAGGTGTTTTCAGAACCTCTGAATGTCATTTTTAACATCCCAGAAACCTCTCATGAATGGTCAAGGATCCAATCTGAGTGAAATGTTGCATGGCCTGATCCGAATGTTGGCTTCTCCTGCGTATGTAATGCCAGAGTTAGCCTGGTTCAGGTTTGTCAGGGTTGTAGTTATCCTACAATAGGCCTCATACCCAGCAGGCAGCTGATCCCAGCCTCTCTAGCCTACATCCTACATTAGTTCTACTCACTAAGAGGCAGGCAGTGCATAACAAGAGAGGAAAGACAGGACTTTTTCTTTTTGTTACTCTAACACTACATTGGCATGTTCCCTGATGTCTGTAATATTCGTATTTATCTGTTTATGACTATAGGTGAAGTAAAACATACCTGATTTTTAAACTGCTATACAGTAGTAGGTAATACTTCATAACTTCATCATAAAATACCATGCATTAGGTGATTATTGCTTTTGAAGAGTCCTACGGAGGCTCCACGAAAAAATATTGCCCTCAAGTTCTATCTATTGGATTTTGGCAAAGAAATCATAAGCTTTTTATGATGTTGGCATAGATTTCATTATTTTTTTTGCATGCAATAATGTTAATAAGAAAAAAATGTAAACAACATAATAAGAAAAAAATTGTACTTAAAAAAGTGACATATGCTTTGGCCTGTAGTGATAAAAAGAGGTTAGCAAATATCCTACATACACGGAAATTAAAGTGCAACAAATAAATAATGGCATCACATTGTTATCAAATCAAGTATAAACTCACAATAAATAAAACATTAATTAAATAAACAAATATATAAATAAAATAAATATATAAATAATATTTTTACCTCAGTGGTGGAGAGATTATGGTCACTTGGTGCAGCAGAACATTATTATTATCATTATTATTACTATTATTATTATTATTACTCCCCCCAAAAAAACGAAAATAAGAAGGGAAACTCTTTCACTGTGTTTCAGTGCAGGGAGGAACGCAGTAACTATAGGCTTACTATCGTCTTTGTCGTCATCCTCATCGTCAGTGTCCCAAAATATACGGTGTCATACTGTATTTAGATGCCAGAAGGAAGCCGTGTCAGTATTATTGTCTCTATCTGGAACAGACAGAGGAAGAGGAGGTGAAGAGTTTTTGAGGAAGTGCATGCGTAGATCAGTTAAATCCTTAAGTGGGCAAATCTCAAGGAGAAAAATTGTGCTATCTTCATCGTCGTCATCATCGTGAATAGGCTCCAAGGGAAAGCGAGGTGAGGGGGAAGTGAGAGAGAGGGAGGAGGGGAAGCAAGGTCATACTCTGACCAAAAATAGATTGTTTGTGTCTGCAGTTCAGTCTTTAAGGATAATGGCAAGTTAATTCTGCAGTTTTGTCCATTTGTTTCATCTATGCAGGGGTCATGCATCTAAGGGGCTGAGAGGAGAGAAAGGGCCTTTGAAGCAGGCGGACTCGTAGTGCTTGTTCAGGTAACTCTTGAGTGCGAAGGTCTTGTCGCAGCGTTTGCACTTGAAGTGCTTGAAGGCCGAGTGGGTCTGCATGTGAGCGCGCAGGTTTGAACGGTCCGCGAAGGCCTTTCCGCAGTGGGCACAACCGAATGGCTTCTCCCCCGTGTGCGAGCGCATGTGGCCCTGCAAAAGCCAAGGTCGACTGAACGCCTTCCCACACACGTCACACTTGTGCTTGAGGTCGTGAGTGAGCAGGTGCATGGCCATGGCGGGCATGGACACGTACACCTTCCCGCAGGTGGGACATTTCTTTGCCAGCTTGCTGTCCAGTGAGCGGTGTGTCTGTTTGTGCCGGCTCAGGTTTGAGGACGTGGCGTAGGTTTTGCCGCACTCATTGCAGGTGTGCCTCTGAATGGTCCTGGGGCTGCTGAGAGCTTTTCTCCTCGAGCGACCGTCGGTGATGAAGAAGGCATCAACTGTGTAACCCTCACTGACTGCTGCATCTCCGTTGATGTAGCCATCGGTGATCTCTGAGCCGGGGCTGTCAGGTGACTCAGAGTCAGGAGCCCCGTAGTCGCTGTGGATGCCGTCGTAGAGAGGGTCGGGAGACGGCACCTTGATCCCACTGTCACTCTCACCATCGTACACAACAGGGCTGATGTAGTCACTGATGTAACCAGCTGGAAAAAAACAAACAACAGTATTTACATTAAAAAACATTGAAGTGGAAGTTATAATGAAAAATAGAATAAGAATCAGAGACTCAGTATAAAGAAATAAAACCACAGTATTTGTCCCTGGAGCAGCTATAACATCGTTTGATTGGTGGTAAAGAAGACAACTCAACAAATCTGAATAAGAGTCACAGAGGAGAAAAGTGGGAAAGATTTCCAACCTCTACACCAGAGACCCTTCAAACACTGGTAACAATTGTAATGGACATACAATACAATTCTGGATCTAAAGGGACACAACAGGAGAAAGAAGTTTGTATTGACAGCAGCTGAAGGAACAGAATGAAACTAGATACTCGTCTTTTCTCAGCTTTATCTTTCTTTACAGAGACACTGTGTACTGTCGAGCATTACACCCTCTGAAGTGATGGAGTTAAAGAAGTGCCTCCTCATTCATGTTAACAACTCTATTAGTGAGTATTACACCTTTAGTTACAAACATCTGGTCTCATAAAGCTGCGTTTATTTTCTGCACCTGCATCCCGTTTGAGTCCATTCATAATAAAACACACCACAGAGACAATGGCTTGACATAAGTATTGTAACATGTAACATGTTAGCAGTTTCTTAGCATGTTGTATGTAGTAACCTCATTAAGTCGCTCACTGAGTGCTGTGGATGGACATAACTGCTGACATGACAGGCGGCGCTGTAATGGATGAGAAAACCGGATGCTGTGTTTCTTTACAGTGAAAGAGCAGAAAACCAAACATGGCAACGCAGTGGGGGAGACTGTAGGTTCCAATAAGATCTGATCCAAGGTCAGTCAGCACATTTTCATGTATAGGTTGTACAAAAAACCACAAGATTGTGTTGTTATGTGAAGCACAAAAAGTTTAGATCATTAGATGATTTTAAGAAGCACCGAAGGTTATGGTCCTCCCTTCACTCAAAATGTACTAGTAATATTGTACACAAGATATATATATATATATATATAATCCTTCACTTACATATCTGCACCATAATGATCATCCCGTCCCCTGCAATTACTCTGCATATGAAGCAAGAGACATTTGTCAATTCACCCTCGGTGCTGTAGCACTAACGGTAATATTTTAAATAACTGTGAACATACATGTGAAACAGCAGAGCAGAACATCTGTGTTTCTCCTGCACACCTGTTGCCAGTGTGAAAAAAGCCTCCAGTGTTGGTCCAGATAGTAATTCAGCTATAAAATTCCCCTCAGCCTCAAAGGTTACAGTTAAAACAATTCCTCTCTGAAAGATAAATGCACACACACTGACCCTGAACTTGAGAAAGCTGATATAGTGTGAGAACCAGCATCAGCACCACGGACAGATGCAGTCACAGTGAGACTCGGTCAGTTTAAGGTTCTTACTCACAGAGCAGAGTTAAAGACTTACAGCAGGTGTTATAGACAATATACTTAAACTCATTGTAAAGCACTATAGATAATATAGATAGATACAGATAGACCATAGTAGGTTGGATAATGCTGCCCTCCCTCTTGATACGTTCATATCTCTCAAGTGGGTGTGTGTTTTCTCATAGTCATCATAAATATGTATGTTTGTCCACATAACTGGCGAAATAACCGAAAGTGTAATTAAATGCAGGACAATACTGTGCATTAATCTGCACACTGTGCCTTGCGTATATGCAAACAAACACATAGTATGAAAAACCTTTTGATCCATACAAAAAATAGTCTAAATACATGCTGCTCTGCTCATTTTCTATTTACATAACGACAAAGATGCAACTGGTATCAAACACACACAAGTAAATGTTACAGTTGCAGTTTTTGTGTCTTGGAATTAGTTTGACACAATAGGTTTGGTTTGGCTTAGCTTAAATACAGACTTAATTGTTCCTGAACACAGAGATCTGTAAACACAACCTATGGTCCAAACATATTTCATCATACTTTCTCTTTTCATATAATTAATATACACTTATACATGCTGCAGAAGCAACAAGGTCCAGGTGACACCCCTCCTATATGTCTGCATGTCCTGTCTGAAAACACACTCCCATCTTACACACAACACAGGGAACATGGGGTGGACATAAATTATTCCAAAAGCTGGTTCGTTCAAGCAGAAAGTTGTTCATAATGCTGTGTGGGTAGAGTTTGTATTGTACTGTATGTAGAAGCCGCATTAAGCTGTCACCATCTGATGTTGGGGATGGAGACAAAAGGTGGCCGGTGTAGGCAGTGTATGGCGCGGCGCTGCTGAGGCAGCAGATCGCGTGTCAAGCGGAGCAGGGCTGGTTAACCTCGACATCACAAATATACCACTGACAGCTTTTTGCTTTATGAGCGGAGAAATAGCAGAGAGTGCGTGCATGCCGAATGCACATGCTGATGTGCATCAACATGTCGATGACATTGGGGTAGAAGCAGTGCAGCGGCTTCATTTACATGGCAAGGACATCTCTGGCTTTTCATGTAAGATGTGACGCACACAGTCACAGGGAGCGAGGAAGTTCACAGCTTCACAGGAGCAGAGGGCAGCATTAAAACAGTGAATAACACTGCTTACTCCTGCTGGAGGGTAACTACAGTGTGTTTGGTATTATGCCTTAATAGTACATCTAAACAAACAAATAGAATAAAATACTGTTTATATTCAACACTTTAACCAAGACTGTCTGAAATAATCAATCGTTTTGGATAGAGATGTTACTCAGCTTAGGAATCTACTGCGATATTCAACAGCTCAATAGCATTCAACAGTTCATCATTGACTGTGAAATGAGATAAGTGTGGTCAGGGTCTCCTCCTCTTTCTCTTTATGTGATAATAATACAACAGGCTGCTGTTGTAAGTGTAGCACAGAGGGAGATGCGGTTTTTTTTATCTGTGGGGGAGAAATCATTGTGCAGAAATATCTTAACTCTGCAAAAACAGGACATGCACACCTTGGTACGGAGCTCAAATTTAACCCTCTACAAACACAGTACAATTCAAGCCTGTGAAGGAGCTGATTTAAAATGCAGCCAAGGAGAACAAACCAAGAAAACACCTGTGCACTGGTGCTAATGTGTCTGATCACAGCTGCTTCTTATCTGTGCTGCAGCTGCAGTTTCGACCATTGAATCACTTCAAGTGTTACTGCGTTTGTCAGCTCATTTTCTGTAGAAGACATCCAGCCTACGGGATACAGGAGAGTAGGTTCCATGCATCATCTCAAGCATTACAAGCATCATGCTGAGCTCGCAGAGGCAAGTCCACTTAAGAGCAGTGTGAATCAATGCACATTTAGACTTGGGCTCGGCTTTTGCCTCCAAAACCAAGTGAAGGTGAAGCAGATCAGAATAACCTCCATCCCGTCTTTATCTCTTTTAGCCTGACTTAGCCTGCATAGGGGGTAAACTCCCTGCTGACGATGAGCCAAAATCAATGTAACATGGGATGTGCTGGATTTAGTTGATTTCTCAAGTGACCTTTCCGCTTCAGTGGCAGCTCGACTCGCACAACTCGAGCAACTGCTTTGAATCAAACCAGCTGCAGCCTTCACCCTCTCAGTAATAAAGTGTTGTGTGGTGTGGAATGAACCTCTTCAGTCTAATCCTGTTCACTTGCAGCACACTGGAGCTCTTACAGTCTCACTGGAACCAGGAATGATTGTTTATTTTGAAAGGAACTTTTAGAGCTTTTATTAGGTCACCTGTGAGAGAGGCCATAACTACACTGTCACATCTTATGGGCTCCATAAATGGCCCCGAGCAGCAACACCCACATCCCCACTGGTTGCGCACAATCCCATTTCAAGTTTTACTTGGAAATGCTGGAGAGGAATTGCAGAAAAAAAAAAGTGGTGACAGGAATAAGAACAGGTGGTATATAAAATACTATAGGAGCACAAATTAAATGGTTTATTATAGATATTGAGTATTTGCACTGAGATCTATGTTTGGATGTGTTGCATTAAAGGAATTCTTCTGGAACACACACATTTTTGGAAATGGCATTCTCAGCTCCCCTGCCTGTCCGCCCTCTACCTGCACCTCCTCTCTCTCCTCCACCTCCTCTTCCTCTCAGAGACCGACTTGTGTTTGTTGTGAGACACCTGTTAGTGCTGGGTTGTGTGCGCAGTTCAGCCTGACCTACCTTTGTCATGGAGCCGCAGGCTGAGGTCTGTCCTGTGCCGGTAGACGCTCTCCAGATCCGCCGCCGTGGAGAAATCATCCAGTTTCACCTTTTTCACCAGGAAGGACCTTGGCATGGTGCGGGGGTGCGACACCGACTCAACACAACGACACACACTCACGAACAACACAGCCGATCCACGACGGCCTGGCCAGCGTGGTGGTGGTGGTCTCAACCCGGCACACACACACTCACACACACGCGCTCACACGCAGAGGACGGAGGAAGATTGTCTCGCACTGATCCGGTGGAAAGTCTTCACCTCTTTTTTCTTTGAACGTCTTCTTCCTCTCTTCTCTGCTCGTCTTCTGTCTGGTTCTCTCTCGTGCACGAGAAAGAGGAGAAATGCAACTTCAGCACCGGACAGCTCCCTCCGGGTCTCTCTCTCTCTCGCTCGCTCGCTCGCTCGCTCTGCGCTCGCGTGCACCGGCAGACTGAGGCTCGCGAGCAGCCAAACAACAATAACAATAATAACAATAAATAAATAAAAACAAATAAGAGGTGGAGGAAGGAAACCCTGCAGGGTGAGACAGCTCGCGGGCCTCTCAGAAGAAGAGGAGGAAGGTGGAGGAGGAGGAGGAGGAGGAGGAAGAGGAGGGATGCGAAGAAAGATAAGAAAAAGGATGAAAAATAGATTTTGGAAGCTTTTCAAAATAAATGTCGGCCACCTTGTCCTTCCCTGTTTGCGAAATAGTCCTTGTTTAATTCCCTTTAACAGCAAAAAAAGAGACTCCTCTCGTCCGAGTGTGGATCATCAGCATCCTCTCCTCTTTCTGTCTCTCTCTCTTCTCTGCTCTCTTTCCCTCTCTCTCTCTCTTTCTGCAGCTTCCGCGAGGTGCTCCCGTGAGTGTGCCGTCTCGCGATCAGCTGTTGGCATTTATACCGAGCAGAGAGAGAGAGAGGGAGAGAAAGGGAGGGAGAGAGAGGGAGAGATGGATAGACACACGGGTAGAGGGAGTGCTTAATTTAATCCATCCCACATCCCCGGGGAGCGGCGACTGGCCCGGATGATTTATTGAAGCTGTTATCACCCCCCCCCCCCCTCTTCTTTCTTTTTCTTTCTCTGTCTTTCATTCTCCTTCTCCCTCCTTCCTCCATTCCTTCTCATTTATTTGAGCGTGTGTGTGTGTGTGTGTGTGAGGCCAGGCGCCATGTTTTGGGGAGATAAGAATGGAAATTATTGTTATGGTTTCTTTAAGCACTCATCGATTTGATTCAGCTATCACAGCGTGTAACGTCAATTTAAATATTGTCTCCTTGTGAGCATCTTTTTTTTATTATTATTTGGAAGTGGGGGGGGGTCTTCTTTTCTTTTTGTTATCCCCTCTCTCCTCTTTTTATCACCTGCTAAGCGTTTTCTATCTGAGCTTTTCTGCTCGATGACATGGGTTTTATGGGGGATATTAACTAGCATGCTGAGAGCCTCGTAATTATCATTAATGTGGCCTCGGAGGCAGATGGATGTAGACCAAATGGAGTGTTTTACAGCGGCTGCATGGCGGATTAATATGAGAGAAAGAGTCCTATCTGCTCCGGGGTCACACCAGGTTCACTCCCAAGTTTCTTTAGATTATGTAAGAACAACACTGATCATTAGAGAGACTTTGGTGCAGGGCTGTTCTCTTGTCCTGTGTTAATGCTCCGCTGCTATACTTCACAATTATTCCTTAATGTCATTCGTAAGTCCTCCTCAAACACTTCTGCAATATACTGGCACTTTTTATTATTTGTGTGGTGGATGAGCTTTTTATAAACAATCTATTGTGCAGAGTGAAGTTAGATAAACCTTGTGTTCATCCTACCTGGTTTATTTGCAATCAAGAATTTATAGTGAAATGTTTCTATAAAATGAAATTGAATGTGATTCATTACTATTCACATGTTTGGTTTATATATGTTTGAATTAGTGACTTCACACAGTACATGTTGGCTATTTCAGAGCTCTGTTAATAAATCAATTCAATCTTCAGATCTAATTTCACAAGTTCGAAATAAAATTTTATAATTCCACTTGAAAGCAACAATGTACGTTTACTTTGAAGATAGCTAAATAATATTGCATGACAGAGATCAGCACTTACAACTCAAAATTAACTGGCAGCGATGTTGACCCGTGGTTTGAACCCTTTTGTCATTATCTGTAGTTTATCCGAGGACAAAGAAGAAGACTGAAGGCCCATAGGTCGCCTGTTTCTTGAAATATTTATTATTAATAAACTTGTGTGTGTCCAAAATGCACCAAAAGTGGAACTGCACTTCCTCAGGCCATGAACAACACATGGCAAGTGTGAAGCTGATAAAATGAATGGTTCTGGGATCTGCTCCAAGTTTTGTGGAAATCTGATCAGTTGTTTTTGTGTAATATTGCTAAAAAACAGGCAGGGGTGTAAATATATCCTCCTTGGTGGAGGTAATTAAAGTGTAAAACTCATACACTATCTCAGTATCTTTTTCACTTTGAGACCCACAGTGACCATATACATATATAATATATAAATATCTTTTAATTAGTCCCAGTGTGTGTGCAGTGCACATTACTGAGTTTGTGTTGTTACAACATCTAAAAGCTGTTGCCGTGTTTTAATGAGGCAGGACACTGACTCAGGTTTGTTGGAAAGTTGCTGAACATCTGTTAAAGGTTAGAGGAGGCTCGGAGGATGACTCAGATCTACAGAGAAACTACCTAAAGATCAAGTATTCACAGTAATGGGAGAAGATGACAGATCAAACTCTGGCACTGAAGTTTTCTGGAGCTGCACAAGCTCAGTCTCACTTAATTGCTATATTTACAGCCATAAACTTAACCTGGGTAATGATTCAGCATCTGTGGGAAATTAGACAATATGGGGAAATAAGACATTAATTATGGATTCAGCTGTAAACTGCATCATAAATAACCCCAAAGTTATTTAAGTTTGAAATCCCATCATTA